CGTTCATGTCCCCTCAACTGCATCTCAGTGGGAATAAGATGACCATGCTTAGGTGAGCTTCAATTGAAAATAAAAAAAAAAAAAAAAATCACAGTTTTAAAGAGAAAAGCGGATTAACGGTCTTAAAGGATTTACTTTACTTTATTCTCCACTCTCACCACTCCCAATGGAAAAAGCATCAATAAATCAGGTATATTCTCTCTAGTCAGCATCCAAACATACTGCTTGGCACATGGTGTAGTGAAGTGAATAATTTCATATGTCGAGTGACTCTGTTTAAGGTGATATTCTCTCCAAAGACAGGATTTAGGATTTGTCTGGTTTTGTTTTTATGGATTAAAGAGTTGAGATAGAGAAATGGGAAGTGCATATTGCTTCTTTTTGGTATAACCTTAACCAGGGAAATTTTGATTTAATAAATTAAGAGATTTTTAGCTTTTTTCAGGCAAACAGGTTTTTATTAATATAGAGTACATTCTGTAGGGTAGTGATTCTTAGCCTTTTTGAGGATTACTTTAAAAACTATTTTTGTGAATATTATAAAAGGCTATTCCCCAATAAAATGTAAGATGTAAATTTTGCATGTAATTTGAGGTAATGCACAAATCCCTAAAGCCCATTTTTATATGTATACATATATCTATATATGTGTGTATATCTTACATATATAGATATATATCTTACATATATACACATATATATAGCTCTATACCTTTATTGAGGTATAATTCACATACTATACAAGTCACCTATTTAAAGTGTATAATTTAGTGGTTTTCAGTATATTCACAGAGCTGTGTAACCATCCTTATAAACAATTTTTTAATTGAAGTATAGTTGATTTACAATGTTGTGTTAATTTCTTCTGTACAGCAAAGTGATTCAGTTATATATATGTATACATTACTTATATTCTTTTCAATTATGGTTTATCATAGACTACTGAATATAGTTCACTGTGCTATACAGTAGGAGCTTGTTGTTTATCCATTCCATATATAATAGCTTACATCTGCTAACCCCAGCCTCCCACTCCAACTCTCCCCCAGTCCCCTCCCCCTTGGCAACCACCAGTCTGTTCTCTATGTCTGTGAGTCTGTTTCTGTTTCATAGATAGGTTCATTTGTCTCATCTTTTAGATTCCACATATAAGTGATATTATATGGTATTTGTCTTTCTCTTTCTGACTTCACTTAGTGTGATAATCTCTAGTTGCATCCATGTTGCTGCAAATGGCATTATTTTGTTCTTTTTTATGGCTGAGTAGAATTCCATTGTATATATACCACGTCTTCTTTATCCATTCCTCCTGTCGATGGACATTTAGGTTGTTTCCATGTCTTGGCTATTGTGAATAGTGCTGCTATGAACATATGAACTTTTTGGATTAGAGTTTTGTCTGGATACATGCCCAAGAGTGTGATTGCTGGATCATATGGTAATTCTGTTTTTAGTTTTCAGAGGAACCTCCATACTGTTTTCCATGGTGACTGCACCAGCTTACATTCCCACCAACAGTGCAAGAGGGTTCCCTTTTCTCCACATCCTCTCCAGCATTTGTTACTTGTGGAGTTTTTAATGATAGCCATTCTGACTGGTGTGAAGTGATATCTCATTGTAGTTTTGATTTGCATTTCTCTAATAACTAGTGATGTTGAGCATCTTTTCATGTGCCTATTGGCCATTTGTATTCCTTCTTTGGAGAAGGAATTTAGGTATTTAGGTATTCTGTACATTTTTTTGATTTGGTTGTTTTTTTTGTTGTCAAGTTCTATGAGCTGTTTGTATGTTTTGGAAGTTCAGCCCTGTCAGTCACATCATTTGCAAATATTTTCTCCCATTCTGTAGGTTGTATTTTTGGGTTTTTTTTAATGGTTTTCTGTGCTCTGCAAAAGCTTGTGAGTTTAATTAGGTCCTATTTCTTTATTTTTGTTTTTATTTCTATTGCCTTGGAGACTGACCTAAGAAAACATGGGTACATTTTATGTCAGAGAATGTTTTGCCTATGATCTCTTCTAGGAGTTTTATGGTGTCATGTCTTATGTTTAAGTCTTTAAGCCATTTTGAATTTATTTTTGTGTATGTTGAGAGGGTGTGTTCTAACTTCATTGATTTACATGCATCTGTCCAACTTTCCCAGCACCACTTGCTGAAGAGACTTTTTCCCCATTGTGTATTTTTGCCTCCTTTGTTGAAGATTAATTGACCGTAGGTGTGTGGGTCTTATAATTAATTTTAATATTTTTGTCATTTCCAAAAGAAACCCTGTTCTCATTAGGAGTTGCTTTCTGTTTCTCCCCAATTCACTCCCCTTTCCACCCTAATCAAAAGCTAATTACTTTCCATCCCTAAAGACTTGTCTATTCTGGACATTTTATATAAATGGAATTATAAAATACATGGTTTCTTTCACTTAGCAGAATGTTTTCAAGGTTCATCCGTATCATAGTATGTAACAGTACTTCATTCCTTTTTATGCTTGAATAATATTTCATTGTTTTTTATTTATCCACACATCAGTTGATAGACATTTGATTTGTTTCCCCTTCTTGGCCATTATGAATAATGCTTCTTTGAACATTCGTATACAAGTTTTTGTGTGGACGTGTTTTCATTTCTCTTGAGTATGTATACCATACCCAGGGGTAGAATTGCTGGGTTGTGTGGTAATTCTATGTTTAACATTTTGAGAACTGCCTGGTTGTTTTCCAAAGCAGCTGCACCAATTTACATTCCCACCAGCAGTGTACAAGTGTTCTAGTTTCTCCATATCTTTGCCAATACTTATTATTGTCCTTTTTATTATAGCCATCCTAGTGTGTATGAAGTATCTTGTGGTTCTGATTTGCATTTCCCTGATACTTAATGATGTTGAGTATCACTTCATGGACTTTTTGGACATTTGTGTATCTTCTTCGGAGAAATGTGTATTCATATTCTTTGCCCACTTCAAAGTTATTTGTCCGTTTATTATTGACTTGTAAGAGTTCTTTATATATCTAGTTCAGGTCCCTTATCAGAAATATGGGAGATATATTTTCTTCCATTCTGTCAGTTGTCTTTTCCCTTTGTTGATGGTATCTTTTGAAGCAGAGAAAGGTTTTTAATTTTGATGAAGTCCAGTTTATTTTCTCCTTGTTTGTGTTTATATTGCTTATGCTGCTTTTAGTGTTATTTCTGAGAAATCCTAAGAAGACCTAGCTCTAGGCCTTGAGGATTTATTCCTGTACTTTCTTCTAAGAGTTTATAGTTCTAGCTGTTACATTTAGATCTATGGTTCATTTTGAGTTGATTTTTGTATAGGTGTGAGGAAGGAGTCCACTTCATTCTTCTACATATGAATATCCAGTTATCCCAAAGCCATTTGTGAAAGACTTTTTAACCCTCATTTAATTGTATTGGCTAGTTCTTAGATCCTTTTGCAGATCCACAAACCCAGCTCTAGAGAAGGGTGCAAAGTTAAAAGTCAGATAGGACACCAAAAAGGTGGAGAGGCCACATTAATTAAATAAATAAATTATTTATTTATTTATTTATGGCTGCGTTGGGTCTTCATCGCTGCACACGGGCTTTCTCTAGTTGAGGCGATGGGGGCTACTCTTCATTGTGGTGTGTGAGGGCTTCTCATTGCGGTGGTTTCTCTTGTTGTGGAGCACGGGCTCTAGGCACACAGGCTTCAGTAGTTGTGGCACACGGGCTCAGTAGTTGTGGCTTGCAGGCTCTAGAGTGCAGGCTCAGTAGTTGTGGCACATGGGCTTAGTTGCTCTGCGGCATGTGGGATCTTCCCAGACCAGGGATCGAACCCGTGTCCCCTGCATTGGCAGGTAGATTCTTAACCGCTGTGCCACCAGTGAAGTCCCCACATTGATTTTTAAGTTGAGCCTCAATTCCTTGTTACTACTGCATATTAGTTATCTATTCTATTGCTGTGTAACAAACTACCCCCCAACTCAGTGGCCTAAAACAACAAAATTTCTCTAGGTCATGAATTTGAGAGACTTAGCTATGTAGTTCTGGCTCAGGATCTCTCATGAAATCAGTCAAGATGTCAGTTGGTACTGCAGTCAAATCAAGGCTTTCTTAGGGATGAAGGATCTGCTTCTAAGGTGGCTCATTCATGTGGCTGTTGGCAGAAAGCCTCGGTTCCTTACCACAGAAACCTCTCCATAAGTTTCCTTGAAGTGTCCTCGTGATGTGGCAGCTGGCTTTCCCCAGATCTAGTGATCTAAGAGAGAGAGCAGGGAGGAAGCTGAAGTGCTTTTATGACCTACTTTTGGCCATTACAAATTGTCACTTCTGCCTTACTATTTTCATTAGAATTGAGTCCCAGAATCCAGCTCACAGGGCTGGAGAATTAGGCAGTGCTTTTTGAAAGTAATATCAAAGAATTTGTGGACATATTTTAAACTACCTCATCTACCTCATATACTCGTCAGTTTTATTAAAAGTTTTATTAATTCCAAACAGCTTATGTTGTTTCATACTATATATGCCCATTATCACGTAATAAAATTAGATGATCTCCAAGTCATTCATTTCTTTTTCTTTTTCCTGTTGTTGTTGTTATTGTTTTAATGTCCTTGATGTTTCTAATATAACCAGTCAGTGCATTTTAGGATCAAAACAAAGTAGAGGAGTATGTATCAGAATGTTACATCAGCAAATATGACAAAGAAGTAACATGATTTCTAAAATGAAATAAATACAGGAATATTTCCTCCTTTATAAATCCCTAAGTCCTCAGCCATTTTTCCAGTTTCTAGAAAGGAACACATGAGTAGTTATCTTTGAAGCTGTCTTTGAATACTTCCATGAACCTGCATACTAGCTGACTGAAGTTTTGATCACTCCTAACTCAAGAAACATTTTAAAGTTAGCCATTAACTCTGAACCCATTTTAATACTTTACTTTGTAACTTTGGTTCCTCCTGCAGACTTTTTTTGTAGGTGATGATTTTACATGACTTTGGAATTTGCCTCTAGTGGGACGCTGTGGGAGGATGAACACAGAAGAGCTGGAGTTATTGAGTGACTCCAAATACAGAAACTATGTAGCTGCAATTGATAAAGCACTAAAGAATTTTGAATACTCCAGTGAATGGGCAGATTTGATATCAGCACTTGGAAAACTTAATAAGGTATGTCTGTCTTACTCTTTTCATAAAATGGAGTAAAACTCAGAAGTCTGCATCTGTATTTACTGAATTTCTCTCAACCTTGAAGTAAAGAATTTAAAAACATAACTAAACCTCAGAATTACTTTTGACTCTGCTATTTTACTTCATGAGTTGCATGCCTATATAGTCAGACTTTTTTTTTTTTTGGAGGCCAAAATCACAACAGTACTTGAAAAATATAGTTATTCCTTTATTACCTATAAACACAAGACTAGGAAGCAAATATGCTAACCATGAAGGTTAATAAATTTCTGTAAATGAGCATCGGATATGGTTCTGGAGTTCCTAGCAGCAGAATGAAAAATTGCATGTGGAAAGCAGTAACTGCTGTGTCCTTTCCAAATGGTATGTAGCATTAAGAAAACATTTTATGTCCAGGCAGTTCTTAGTTATAGTCAGTACTTTTTACAAAAGTGACAAGCTGTTGCTTAGGCCTTGGAGCTTGGCCTTGAATGATCCTTCTTCACATGTCTGGTTGTTATCCACTGTTATTGTGGTGGCATCACTGATCAAATTGTAGCTTTAAATTTTGACCCCTTTTTTTTGTTGTTATCCACTGTTATTGTGGTGGCATCACTGATCAACTTGTAGCTTTAAATTTTGACCCCCCTTTTTTTTTTTAACTTAGATCAAAATTTTCTCACTCCACACACATAGTTTTTATTTTGGGGGCTTTTGGGGTTTGTTTTTAATAGCTGTTATTGAATACAAATGCTACTCAGTATTAAGTGGACTAGGGGAGCAGATATGAAGGGCGAGCTCTTCCGGTAACTATTTTAACATCAAACAGCTTAGCATACAATTATTAGGAAAGAAATTTGTCTTAAAATACATACCAAGAGCACTAGTTTTCAACCTCATACTATAGATAATTACCCTGATATCTTAAAAAGAAAAGCCTTCATTTTCAATGCCAAGGATTTATCTTAAAATTAGATGCACAGACTTCTGTTTGACGTGTTAACTTCTAACATTTATCATTTGAGGTTTGATAAATTGTCAAAACTTTTACAATATCCCCAAGAAATTGCATCCAAAAATATGAGTTTGTTTAAAGGTAGTTAGGTCCTTTCTTGTCCTGAAGGGTCTCTTTCTGAAGATATATTAGGAACTACGTGTAAAAGCAGTTCATTAAATTGTGGAAATTAATTTGCCTAATTAAGTACATAATTAGTTTTTTATACTTAATCAGTATTCATGAAAACAGATTTCACTGTATCCAGATAATATAACATAGGATATACAAGGCATTGGTGAAACTTACCTAAAATCATGGTGAAACAAGGCAAGGGTTTTATATATATATATAAATTTGTTGAAGATGGTCTAAATATGTTTTAGTATAAAATTTTATTTATTAATATACTAAATTATTATACCTCATTTATACAAGTTTTCTAACTCAAGTGCTTTTAGAAAATAGTGCTATATTTTGCTTTTTTAAAAAAAATTTATTTGGTATCAGTAGAATTTCTTTATTGAGGCATTTTGTGTTACACATCATTAAGTTTCCTTCTACAGAAGTACTTCTGGTAATAATTATACTTTTCTTTAAAGTATATGTAATTATTGATTCTTTGCTCCTGCATCCAAAATTCAAAGTAATATTCTAGAAATGGAAGGCAGCTAGTTTCAAAAAATAAAAATGTTTTGTATTTGGAGTCTTATTAGTGTTGTGCCCTTGATTTGCTTTGCATTCATAGGTCTAATTTTATTCACATTCATTACATCCAATTTAAAACTGGATTGAAGGCTTGTAGTGGGAAGAACATTGAAAATGTTATATCTAAGTGGACCTCAGACCCTCCGCTTTTTTTATGAAGTGGAAAATCTAGTGCTTCTCTTCTGTACTGCCTTTGGCAGATCATTCATTTTATATATTTTAACCTCAGTTCTTTATTTTTTAAAATAAAGGACTTCTTTTCTGTTTCATCTAAATTCCAGTTCTAGTCTATTATACTGTATTCATTCTGAGTGTTCATTTTCTAGTATTCTATCAGCATTTTGCCATAATACTCTGAAGAACTGCATTTGTAAGTCTTTTATCACTTAAATAATTAATCTCCTTTGAGTGATTTGTGAGATAGCATCTTCTTCTTTAAATTCTGCCTTGACCATCATCTCTAAAGAAATGTAGTGGCTGAATAAATACAGCAACATGTATTTGGCCCAATTGGGAGGTTAGTAAAAGCAAATGGGCAATTATAATCTCATGTATGTTCTTGTCAGCACTAGAATTACTTGCTATAATATGATATAGTACAGCAGTTCCTCTTCCAACAAAGTATCTATGTTGAGGTTCGATTTTCTTCATGTATTTCAAACAGTGTATCAAAAATAGGTTGAAGGCTGACTGACATTAAAGATTTGTAGACATCTAAAACGGTGCCTTTCTTCTGAACAAATTTGTTTTGGAAAGCATTGTTATTTTTCATAAAAATGTTATTTCTCTTAACACGTAATGAGTTTATTTTTTTAACAAATTAATAAATATTTTTAAATCCTCAGTTTTAATTTTAAATCCAGTATTGACAGATGTAACTGACAAAAACAAAAGTTTTTTGACATCCTCCATAATTTTTTCAGAGTGTAAAGAAGTCCTGTAAGGATTTTTGGTAATACTATGCTAGAAAATGGAAATAAAATGAAATGTAATATTTTTCTCAACTGAATTCAAATGTTTTCTTCAAGGTTTTACAAAATAATGCAAAGTACCAAGTGGTACCCAAAAAGCTGACCATAGGCAAACGCCTAGCTCAATGTCTACATCCAGCATTACCAGGTGGAGTTCATCGGAAGGCACTTGAAACATATGAAATTATCTTCAAAATCATTGGACCTAAGCGACTTGCCAAAGATCTTTTTTTATATAGGTGAGAATAATTTTACTGTCTATTTGCATGTAAGTAAAAAGTATTTTTAGCTATCTTATGCTTTTTGCACTGAAAGGTAAAAAATTGAAAAGTCCTTAATGGTGAAAGTTTTCAGATGTCAGTCTTAAATATTTTGATAAATAAATACTTCAGAAAAATTTACAGTATTTCTTTCTTTCTTTTTTTTTGTTTTTTTTTTTAAGATTTATTTATTTATTTATTTAGGCTGTGCCGGGCCTTAGTAGCAGCATGCGGGATCTTCATTGTGGCATTCAGGATCTTTTAGTTGCAGCATGCGTACTCTTAGTTGTGGCATGCAGACTTCTTAGTAGTGGCATGCAGACTCTTAGTTGCAGCATGCATGTGGGATCTAGTTCCCTGACCAGGGATCGAACCCAGGCCCCCTGCATTGGGAATGTGGAATCTTACCCACTGGACTACCAGGGAAGTCCCTAATATTTCTTAATACAAGAATATTTTTCCTTCTCAGATGTCATTTTTGAAAAGTTTATTTTTTTTCAAAATTGTTGAGACTACAGTACATTCTATGTTTTTAAGCTAGAGAACTACCCTGAGAAAAAATAGATACCTTGATCTCTTAGCACCTTTCAACATAGTTGACCATTCTCTACTTAAAATAGTCTTTTTCTCTTGCCTTCTGTTATACTGCATTCTCCAGTTTTGTTACTTTCTCAGTCTCCTTTACCAGCCTTTTCTGCTTTCCCTAAACTCTACATATGGAGTTCCTTAAGGCTTGCTTAGTCCTGTACCTAATGTTTTCACTTTATATTCTCTCCTTGGGCATGCTTATCCAAGCCATGATTTATCTTTTATGTGCAGACTCCCAACTTGGTATCACTAGTGCTGACTTCTGCTTTAAACTCCTGGCTTACTCGCCACCTCAGTGTGGCTCTTTAAAGGCATCTGAAGCTCAACCTGCTCCAAACTAATCTCACCTTCTCCCATAAACATGGCCATCTGCAGTGCACTAAAGCTCAGTAAATGGCACCACCATCCATCCATTTACACCTGAAATCTGAGACTTACACTTGACATCTTGTTTTCTTTGCCCATATTCTCCTTCCTTTCATGAACATTCTGTCGCTAAGAGTTCTATCTCGTGGTGGTTAAGAGCAGAGGCAGTGGAGTCAGACAATTCATATTTACAGCTAGCTGGCTCTGTGATCTTGAGCCATTTTCTTCACCTCTCTCTGTATGTATTCTCATCTGCAAAAATGGGAATAAGATGATCAATTTCATAGTATTGTTAACAGAATTAAGAGAGTTAATATATGTAAAGTGCTTAGAACAATGTACAGCATGTAATAAGTACTCAATAAATGTTAGCTATTGTTCCATATTCCAAATACATCTACCTCTCTCTACCCTTGCTGGCAGCATCCACACTAAGTAAGCATTATCTCTAGCCTGGTCTTTGTTACTGGCCTCCGAATATTCATATAACATCTGTTCTTATTCTCTTACACCCTTTTCTCCGCATAGTATCAGAGTAAACTTTTTAATACATTGAATAGGTAATGTCATTCCTCTGTTAAAAACCTCCATTGACTTCCTCCTGTCACTTAAAAATAGAATTCAAAGCCCTTACTATGGCTTTTAAGGCTTTATATACTTTGGCCCAGTCTGTGTCAGTGACCTCTTAACTCCTACCACTTTCTACCCAGTTTACTCCATTCTGACAACATAGGTCTCTGCTTATTCTTCCTCATTTTCTTTGTTTTCCTCACCCTGTAATGCTTTAATCCAGGTCTCTAATCAAATATCAGCTCATAGAAGTCTGCGTATTTACTTTTACGTCTTTGTCATTAGTACTCTGCAGTTTTACTGTGATATATTTAGAGGTAGATATCTTTTCCTTTATCCTGGTTGGGATTCATTGGGATTTTAAAATCTGTAAATCAATACCTTTCATCAATTCTGGAGTCTCTTTAAATTGACTTTACTCCATGTATTCTCTCTTCCTTTTTTGGAACTATGATTAAACATATGTTAGAACTTTTCATTCTGGCTTCCCCATATCTTATCCTCTCTTCCATTTTAGTTTGATGTAGTCACACTTGTTTATTTTTGCTTTTGTTGCCTTTGCTTTAGGTTTCTTATCCAAAAAAATCATTGCCAAGGCCAGTGTCAGGGAGCTTTTCTCTATGTTTTCCTCTATATTTTATGGTTTCAGGCCTTATATTTAAGTCTTTAATCCATTTGGAGTTAACTTTTGTAAGTGGTGTAAGATAGGGGTCTAATTTCGTTCTTTTGCATGTGCATATCCAATTTTCCTCTATCATTCGTGACATTGGTGATGCAGACATCCTTTTTTACTCTGGTTAGTCTTGTCATGAGTTTATCAATTTTGTTAGTCTTTTTAAAAACAAACTTTTAACTTCATTGATCTACTTTACTGTGTATGTGTTTTCTCTTTCTTTAAATTCTGCATGGATGTTTAAAAATAGAACCTAAAGTCAGTAATAGGTATTTTTAATAATAAACACTATATTCCAAGGAACCGCACTTTTTAATAAAAAGCTGAAAATTGCTCAGTTACATGTAGTAACTGATAGATTCCTTTCGTAAGGCAAGACTTTTCTTATATAACTCATGCCTGCTACTTTTTAAACTCTTAAATAACAGAAAGTTTACTTTAAGAAACAGCTGTTTTACGAAGTTGCAGTATATCTAATTTTATTAGCAATATGCTATATAAGAATAATAAATTAATTCTAGATACCATGTCTAAATATGGCAGACATTCTTATATACACATACCTTATGGAGTAAAATTGTTATTGTGGATGTTTTAGAAGTATAGCTAATTTAAAAACTAAAGTTTATATTAATGTTGGACTCTTTATTTTTTATTAAGTAAGTTAATCTCAAGGTTTATGCTTTAACATAAATACAAATAATTAAAGTTCTATAACCTATCATATGATAAAATATCATATTGTGTCTTCAAACTTATTTTTTTTAATATGATACAGTACACAGAGGTGTAACTAAGAAGGCTAGACATGTAGTTTGAGCAGCGTAAAATATTAAATGGATATGTAAAGTAAACTTTCGATAATACAAACCCAGACTTCAGGCTAGAGAGATTTTAGGGCAGTTAGTATTCAGGTGGCAGTTGAAGCCAAGAGAATGATTGAGATCACCCAGTACATTGTGAATAATAAGGAGGGTAAAGAAATGAGACCATTCTGTGAATACTTAGGAGTCACATTATTTAAAGAGCAGGTGGAGGAAAGTAGTCATTGGAAAGGAACAAGAAGAATCAGAGATAGAAAATGTACCAGGAGACAGAGCTCACCTGAAGCCAAAAGGGGAAAGAATTTCAAGAGAAAGTTGTGGTGAATAGTATCAAATATTACTGGCACATGAAACAGTAGGGACTGAAAATAGACCATCAAATCTGGCAATTAGTAGACATTGGTGACAGTATGGAGAACAGCTTCAGTAGAGCAGGTAGAAGTGTCGTGATTGAAGATCAGGTGGGAGGTGATAAATTGGGAGAAGTGCTTTTTTTTTCCCCCCCAAAAGTTGAAGTAGGAAGGCAGCTTCAAGCCAGGAGGTAGTTAAGATAAAGGTTTGGGGATTTTGTTGTTGTAATTTGTTCTCTTTTTAGAGTCATAGGAAAGATTTAAGCACAATTGTCAATGGAGGAAGAAAGAAATTACAGGAAAGAAAAAGGATGGTAGATGAAGCAGGGCCCTGGCAAAAGGAGACATTGGGCCCTGGGGCAAGGTAGCTTTGAAGAGGTTACTACTGTAGCTTTAAGTCATACTGTACTACCTAAACTTGAAGGCAGGAAAGTGGCGAGTTGAGGGAATTCCCACTAGATGACCTCTGTTTTCTGTATAAAGTAGGAGCAAGACAGATTCTTAATTCATTTGTTAAGCACTTTGCAAGTGCAGGACTTGGTGTTAAGGATTTAGGATACAGAAATAAAAAGAGAGTCATGGTCTCTTGCTTTCTGATATTACAGAATTATCTATTAGAATTACTCTTTTTTCCCCTAGTTTTATTGATAAATAATTGACTTTCCTCACTGTGTAAGTTTAAGGTGTACAGCATGATGGTTTGATTTACATATACTGTGAAATGATTACCACAGTAGGTTCAGCTAATGTCATCTTTTCATATAGATACAATAAAAAGAAAAAAAAGAAGAAAAGAAGAAAGGAAAAAAAATTTCTCCTTATGATGAGCACTCTTGGGATTTACTCTGTTACAACTTTCCTGTATATCATATAGCAGTGTTAACTGTAGTCATCATGTTTTACATTACATTCTTAGTACTCAATTATCTTATAACTTAGTACTCAATTATCTTATAAGTACTCAATATATCTTATAACTTATAACTATCTTATAACTCAATTATCTTAGTACTCAATTATCTTATAACTTATAACTATATAACTTATAACTTACATCTTATATCTTCTTATAAGGAAGTTGGTACCTTTTGACCACCTTCTTCTAATTCCCCCTCCGTCTACCATTGGCTCTTGTAACCACAAATTTGATCTCTTTTTCTATGAGTTTGGGTGTTTTTTTGTTTTGTTTTGGTTTGGTTTAAGATTCTACCTATAAGTGAGATTATACGGTATGTCTTTTTCTGTCTGACTTATCTCAGTATAATACCTTAAAGATCCATCCATGTGGTTGCAAATGGTAGGATTTCCTCATTTTTATGGCTGAATAATATTCCATTGTGTGTGTGTGTGTGTGTGTGTGTGTATACACATACACACAACTTCATTCATCCATCAGTGGACACCTAGGTTGTTTCCATGTCTTGGCTATTGTAAATAATGCTGCTATGAACATGGGGATTCTTTTTGAGTTAGTGGTTTTTTTGCCTTTGAATATATTCCCAGAAGTGGAATTTTTAATTTTTTGAGGAATCTCCATACTGTTTTCTGTAGTGACTGTACCAATTTGCAGCCCCTCCAGCAGTGCACAGGGGTTCCCTTGTCTCCACATCCACACCAGCATTTGTTATATCTTGTCTTTTTGATGATGGCCCTTCTGCCAGGCATGAGATGTTATCTCACTGTGGTTTTAATATGCATTTCCCTGTTGAGTAGTGACGTTGAGCATCTTTTCATGTACCTGTTGACCATTCGTGTACCTTCTTTGGAGAAAAGTCTATTCAGGTCCTTTGCCCATTTTGTAATTAGGTTATTTGTTTGTTTGCTATTGAGTTGTACAAGTTCTTTATGTGTTTTAGATATTAACACTTTATCAGTTATATGGTTTGCAAATTTTTTTCCCGTTCTCTAGGTTGTCTTTTTACTTTGTTGATGTTTCCTTCTGCTGCTGCAAGGTATAGCATTACTTTTTTTTTTTTTTTTTTTTGGCTGCACTGTGTGGCATGCGAGATCTTAGTTCCCCGACCAGGGATCGGACCCTTGCCCCCTGCAGTGGAAGCGCAGAGTCTTAACCACTGGACCGCCAGGGAAGTCCCTAGCATTACTTATTATTATCACAGCAATAGAATTACTTACTGTTAGTAAGAACAGAATTACTTATTAGAATAAGTGTTAGGTTCTATGGGAACATCAAATAGGGAGCCTAACTTAGGAGACAGTCTCCTCAAGGAAACAGCTTAGGTTGAGTTTCTGAGTCCTAGGAATCATCCAGACAACAAGGAGGTTGTAAGTAAGGGAGCAGGAATTGTATCTTTCAGAGCAGCATGTGCAAAGGCCTGCTCGCTAATGAGGGTGTAGAAAGTTCTAAAATGAACTTGAGAGGAATTCTTCAGTGTAGCTGGAGCAGAGGGTGCAGGAGTGATATTGGTGAGCATACATGGTCTGTATAGAGGTATGCAGTAGCAAGATATTAAAAGCCACATTAAGCATTTACACTATATCTTAAAGGCAGCAGGAAACCAGTGAAAGGTTTTATTGAGAACAGCTGCTTCAGGGCTATCCTGAAGCAGTACTTGGTAAGACATGATGATTGAGAGATGATGATTGAGATATCTTGGTGGTCTCTTCTAAGGAGCTATCTGATGGAGATGGAGAGAATTTATTATATTCAAAAAATATCTAGGAGAATGGCTTGGAGAGAAAACTTGGTAATTGATTCCGGTTTAAAGTAGATTTTTTAAAAAGGGTCAAGGGTCACTCCAAGATGTATAGCTTTTGGTCAACCAGATGGATGCTGATGCCATATTTTGAAATGGAAATTACAGGGGAAGGATCAGGATTTGGGGCAGGGGGAGAGAGGGAACTCTGTTTATGAATTGTGAAATTTGAAGGCCTTGTGAAACAGCTAGGTGGCCACTGAGTTTATGAGTATGAAGCTCAGGTGAGAGATCTGGGTTGGTTTAATGGATATAGAAGGCATTACTATACAGGATACCATTTTAAGCTGAGCAGTGTAACATTATTTCATTTTAAAAAGATTTATACACACGTGTTGGTACATATGAATTAATGTTTTAGTTATTTTATCCCCCACTTTTATTTTTATTTTTTAAAACAGTTCTGGACTATTTCCTCTTCTTGCAAATGCTGCCATGTCGGTGAAACCAACATTGCTAAGTTTGTATGAGATATATTATCTGCCTTTGGGTAAAACACTGAAGCCTGGTCTACAAGGATTGCTAACTGGTATTCTTCCTGGCTTAGAAGAAGGATCAGAGTACTATGAGAGGTAAGATAGTACTGTTATTGCTGCAGCTAAGTAATCAAAGTCATGGATTTGTCAGCAAGCATCCTTAAATCAGTAATATTAGCATCACAAAAACTAATTATTCTTGACACTTCAGTATATCACCTGAAGATTTTTATAGCAAAAAAATTATTGTAGTGTGTCTAGTTTGTGTATCACACTGAAAATTTAGCTGAGTAATAAGAGCACAGACTTGGAAGGTAGATGGACTGGTTTCAAATCCTAGTTTGACAGACACTGTGCGAGCTTAGGAAAGCTTTTTCAACATTTCTGAATTTTATTGAGTTTTCTCATGTATAAAAAAGCATAACCTATTTCATTGTGTTACTATAATATTTCAGTATCACTTAGTCTAGTGCCTAGCACATAAAAATCACTCAAAAATTTGTGACCCCTAATTTAAAATAATAGTACAACAGATAGGACATTTAAATTAATAAAATGAATGGGAAATTGGGCCATGTACCATCAATTTTTAAATTGTTAATGGTGGAAAATAGCCTAGCACCAACCTATTGACATGATACTCTTGATATTTTAACTCTTCAAAGAAAATGATTTGATCTGTTTTGGAGCCTATTATTTCTTTGGAAGTTAATAGTGGTAGACAATGCAGGGTAACGTTAAGTATTTTTAGTATCTCTTTTACCGATATTCTTACCAAAAAGGAAATTATGAATTAAGGTGGCAGAAATAGAAAATGCCAAACTTTCTTTACGAGTACACGTAATGATTTAAATTTAAATAATTTATTCCAGTGCATTGACCAGCTACTCTTTTATTGTATTTCATCTGCTCCCATAATGCTGTAAGAATCTAATCCTGAAAATATTGGATTACTCTTATAAGCTACTTTGAGAAAAAGTACTTTAGTCCTCAACTTATCATTTACTTTTATTAACTTTTTTACTTACTTGCTTACAATTTTAGAAACACAATATGAGATTATTTTATTAAGTTTATAAATCAGTCTTGTTTTAAATTGTTTTATTAATTCTCCTAAGGGAAGCATACAATGAATACCATTTTATAAACCTGCTAGTTATAATTTAAAATTTAATGTAGAAATTGAATAATGATGTTTATGACTGTGGTATCTCTATGATTCAATCTTGTTATGTGCCTTAGTCTTTTGGGCTCTTGTAACAAAATACCACAGACTGGGTAGAAATTTATTTTCAGAAATTCAGCAATATTCAGAAATGCAAAAGTTCCGAAATTTATTTCTCACAGTTCTTGAGCTGGGAGTCCAAAATCAAGGTGCCAACATGACCGTACTCTGGTGAGAGCCTTCTGCCTGGCTCATAGCTGGAGCCTTTTCCCTATATCCTCATCTACTGGAAGGGACTTTGGAGCTCTGCTGGTATCTCTTTCATAAGAACACTAATCTCATTCATGAGAGCTCCACCCTCATGACTTAAGCACCTCCCAAAGGTTCCACATTCTAATACCATCACTTTGGGGGATCAGGGTTTTAATGTATAGATTTTCAGGGGACATAAACATAGCAATACGTTTTGCCAGTTATTTCACACAAGTTCTATAAAATGATATGAAAACATGTTCTTTTAATGCGTAGTTAAATTGAGGCTAGAAGGGATTACAGTGTTAGTATTAAATCACATAGTAAGTTAACAGTAGAACTCGTCATCAGATTCTCTTGATTCTGAATCTGCTGTATAGCAATGTAATAATTTTTGTATTGCATTGTTTATCTTATGTTTAAAACAAATGAAAGGTAATTATTCTTTAAGTGCAGTTCTTAATAAAGCAATAATGCATCTCTGATTTTGTCATAGGATAATTCATTGAAATAGTGAATTACATAATGTGATTTCAAAGAGAAGGAAATATTTAGAAATAGCCTTTAAAATTTTGTAGAAAATCGACAGAAGATATGTTCTGCTATAGGATTATTATTAACTATAATGTATGTGGGTTTAACAACCCACTGAGGCAGATGGGACTTGTGGTGGTGTTTTTGTTGTTATCTTCATTATATGGATGAGGAAACTGAACTGAAGAAAGACTAAGTGATTTCCCCAGATTACACAGCTAGTAATTGGGAGAGCCAGGACTTACACCCAGTTCTCTGACTCTGATGTGTATGCTTCTTTCCATCTATGGAACATATGACTACGGCAGGGATGCTTTCATACATTCTGGGAGAGGATAATGATTTGTGTTTAACATCATGAAACTAAATATTTCCCTTTTTCAACCACTTTATTTTGTACCTCAGAACAAACACATTATTGGAAAAGGTTGCTACTGCAGTGGACCAGTCGGCATTCTATAGTGCCCTCTGGGGTAGTCTTCTAACCAGTCCTGCTGTGCGTTTACCTGGAATCACGTATGTTCTCGCCCATTTGAACAGGAAGCTTTCCATGGAAGATCAGCTTTATATAATTGGCAGTGATATTGAGCTAATGGTAGGTATGCATGTGGTTGCTCATTTAACTTATACTTCTTTATAGCCAGACACAAAATTCCAGATGTTGAGAATGGTGCCACGAATGAAGTTCCTGTTTTTATGGAGCTTTTCAATTTTTCAAGGAAACTTAAAGGCCAAAATAGTCGCTAATTATTTTTTTGAAAACCTAGAAATTTTTTTTTCATGGAAAAGGAATTGTTATTTATATGTTATCTTTATTATCTGTTATTCAAGCAAATAAACGGTCTTTATTACCATCTTGCTAACTGATTAGACCATTGTTAACATAGCCACATTCATTATATTATCCTGCCGTGTACCTTCTGTTGGATCATAGATTTCTTTATAGGAAAGACAGATTTTAGACAAAGTGATAGCCAGATTCTGTATGGGATTTACACAAAATGGTGTATTACTAAAGCAGGTAGTGAAAGATAGTTGAAAAAAATCACATTGATTGTTTGCTTATACTTTTTAATTTCAAGATTAAGAACAGAAGGAAACCTTTTATCTCTGTAGAGTGCTGTACTCTTAAAATGAGCAAGGAATGAAAAACAAAGAATCCCTTAAGGGTTATTTTGAAATGTTTAAAAAAAAAAGGTTGTGATTAATCATCCTTTACTTTTTCCCCATATGATTATGAAATGACAGATTTTTATGCAGATTTTTGGTTATATGTATTAAAGTGTAATTAACATACACTGAAATTAATTCATGTGTACAGTTGTATGAATTAGACAAATATATACAGTCATTTGTCAAATTCATACATACTATACATACTATAGTATACTATACATACTATATACATACTATAAAGTCAAGATAGAGAACATTTACATCACCCCAAAAAGTTCTTTTCTGTCCCTTCGTAGCTACTCTCATTCCCCTACACTCCCAAGTTCTTGTAAACACTGATCTATTTTCTATTCCTGTAGATTGTGCTTTTTGCAGAATGTTACATAATAGAATCATGCAGTGTTAGCTGTTCTCTGTCTTCTTTCACTTTGTACAACGTGTTTGAGAATCATCCATGTTTTTGCATGTATCAATAGTTCTTTTATATTGCTATGTAGTATTGTATGAATATACCATAGTTTGTTTATTCATTCACTGATTAATGAACATTTGAGTTCTTTCCAGTTTGGGGCAGTTATGAGTAAAACTAATATAAACATTTGCATACAGTTATTTATATAGACATATGTTCTTTTTTTTCCATTTACAACTATTTCTCTTTTCTTCATATTTATTTATTTATTTATTTGGCTGCGATGGGTCTTGGTTATGGCACACACAATCTTTTGTTGCGGCGCACGGGCGTCTCTCCAGCTGTGGCACTCAGGCTCTAGAGCGCATGGGCTCAATAGTTGCAGGGTGTGGTCTCTCTAGTTGTGGTGCACTGGATGGGCTCAGTAGTTGAGGCATGCAGGCTCTCTAGGTGTGGCGCACAGGCTCTAGAGGCTGCAGGCTTAGTTACCCCTCAGCATGTGGGATCTTAGTTCCCCGACCAGGGATCGAACTCGCGTCCCCTGCATTGGAATGCAGATTCTTAACCACTGGATCACCAGGGAAGTCCCTCTTTTTAAAAAAATTTTAATTTTATATTGGAATATAGTTGATTTATAATGTTAGTCTCAAGTGCACAGCAACATGATTCAGTTATACATATACATATATCTGTTCTTTTTCAAATTCTTTTCCCATTTAGATTTTTTTTTTTGCGGTACGCGGGCCTCTCACTGTTGTGGCCTCTCCTGTTGTGGAACACAGGCTCTGGACACGCAGGCTCAGCGGCCGTGGCTCAGGGGCCCAGCTGCTCCGCAGCTGTGGGATCTTCCTGGACTGGGGCACGAACCCATGTCCCCTGCATCGGCAGGTGGACTCTCAACCACTGTGCCACCAGGGAAGCCCTCCCATTTAGATTATTACAGAATCTTAAGTAGAGTTCCCTGTGCTATATACACTAGGTCTTTGTTGGTTATCTGTTTTAAATACAGTAGTGTGTATATGTTAATCCCAACCTCCTAATTTATCGCTTCCCCCCACCTTCCACCTTTGGTAACCATAAGTTTGTTTTTTAAGTCTGTGAGTCTATTTCTGTTTTGTAAATAAGGTCATTTGCATCATTTTTTTTTTTTAAGATTCCTTATATAAAGAATATCATATGATACTTGTATTTCTCTGTCTGGCTTACTTCACTTAGTATGATAATCTCTAGGTCCATCCATGTTGCTGCAAATGGCATTATTTCATTCTCTTTAATGGCTGAGTAATATTCCATTGTATATATGTACCACATCTTCTTTATCCAGACATATATTCTTATTTCTTGGAAAAATACCTAGGAATGGGATTCCTGCTTTATAAGGTAAATATATGTTTAACTTTTTTTTATAACAGCTTTATTGAGATATTTATATCTTTATTGAGATATAATTCACATACCATGAAATTTATCCTTTTGAATTGACCAGTTCAGTGGTTTTTAGTATATTCACAAAGTTGTACAACTACCACCACTAATTTGAGAACATTTTCGTCACCCCAGAAAGAAACCCCATCTGTTCCCATTAATCACATCACATTTTCCCTCACTCCTGTCCCTAGCAACCACTGTCTATTTTCTGTTTCTATAGATTTGCCTATTCTGGACATTTCCTATAAATGAAATATATAATATGTAGTCTTTTATGAATAGCTTCTTTCACTTACCATAATATTTATAAGATTTGTTCATATTGAAGCATGTACTTCATTCCTTTTAATGGCCGATTAATATTCTATTGTATGGATATAGCACATTTTATTTAGCCATCATTCAGTTGATTACAGTTTGGGTTACTTCTCCTTTTTGGCTATTAAGGATAAGTTTTTGTGTAGACATAAGTTTTTGTATCTTCTAGGTATACACCTAACAGTGGGATTACTGGGTCATATGGTAACTGTGTTTAACTTTTTGAGGAACTGACAAACTGTTTTCCAAAGTTACTGTACCGATTTACATTCCAGTTAGCAATATACGAGGGTTCCCTTTTCTCTACATCCATTTCAATACTTGTTATTGTCTGTCTTTTTTATTATAGCCATCCTAATGGGTGTGAAGTGTTATCTCATTGTGGTTTTGATTTGCATTTCTCTAATGACTAATGATGTTGAACATATTTGTAGTTATTGGCCATCTTTAAATCTTTGGAGAAATGTCTGTTCAGATTCTTTGCCCATTATTTAAATTGGTTTATTTCTCTTTTTGTTGTTATGTTGTAGGAGTTCTCTATACATTTTGGATATTAAATTCTTATCATATATAGGATTTAAAAATATTTTCTCCCATTCAGTTGTCTTCTCACTTTCTTGATAGTGTCCTTTGAAGCACGAAAGTTTTAATTTTGATCAAATCCAATTTATGTTTTCTTTTTTGTCATTTGTGCTTTTGGTGTTAGATATTATCTAAGAAATTGTGTCTAATCTAAGCTCAAACAAATTTACTTTTATATTTTCTCCTAATATATGTTTTAAGGTTATAAGAAACTACCAAACTATTTTCCAAATGTATTGTTACATTTCCTTTTAATGACTTAATGGAAGTTTTAAAGAAGTCATTTTATAAAATTTCTTTAAAAAACAAGTGCCATAATTGGATAACTGTTTATAGTACATCACAGTCAAAGGACTAATTATTATTAGTCCTTATTATTCCTTATTATTCAAAGAGCTACGTAAATAAATAAGTAAATATTAACAGTCAAGTAGAAAAATTGATTTGAACAGAAACTTAACCTTCAGGAAATAAAAATAATTCAAAGGTATGAAAAAATTCTCAGTGTTATTTATAAGAAGAGAAATAAAAATTTAAACTGTATGAAGATACCCATTTTCATATATCAGATTGACAAAAACAAAAAACGTGTGGGTTAACATGGAAAAACAAATTGTCACACAGAGCTAGTGAGAATATGAATACACATAACCTTAAGACAAAGCATTACACTATTTAAATTGCAACTGCGTATATCACAATATCTGGCAATTCTGCTTTGAAAGATTTATACTGTAGGTGTGCTTGTATATTATGTAAGTATATTGCAACATTATTTACAATAGTAAATGGTTGTAAGCAGTATAAATGTCCATCATTAGGAGCCTAGTTAAATAAATTAGGATTCATCTATGAAAGAAAGTATTTCTTTGTATATAAAAAATGAAGCTCTTTATGTAGCGTTAAGGAAAGCTCTTCAGAGTATGTTGTTAAATGAAAAAGGCAGAGTTTGGGATTATGCATGCATGTTTTTATTTACTTATATTTGCAGAAAGTATTCACTGGTAGTCTTGATTGTTTACACAAACAAAACTGGGCGGTTGGAAACAGATGGGGGAGAACCTTTTGGCTGTGTACTCTTTTGTGCTCCTTAATTTTAAACTATTATATTTACCTATTCAAAACAATGTAAAAATGTGTAATTAGTGATAAAAGAAACTTGGAAGCATACTTCTATTTTTTGAGGAAAATGAAGCATTATTACATTTTCATGGTAACTATTTCCCAGGGTAATACACAATAGATACTAAAGACTCTCTTATTTTAGGTAGAAGCAGTAAGCACTTCGGTGCAGGATTCAAGTGTACTGGTACAGAGAAGCACACTGGACCTCATACTCTTCTGTTTTCCATTCCACATGAGTCAGGTAAAACAGTAATGCCAGTGTCAACATAAGGCATTCTTTTGAAATTCATAGATTCCTGATGTGTAGTTATTTTTAAAATTGGATTTAAGTTGTATTCTCTTGTTTTTTATAAACCAGTAAGTACATAGAAAACAAGTTCCCTTTTTAAAGAGTGGAATTTGTGAAATTTTGGGGAAAATAAGATTTATCGATTTGGATAAGAATATGAAGAATGAAATGGATTATTTCATACCTTTAAAAAAAAACGTTTTAACCTTTAAAAAGCAAGAGGTACTGTTATTCATTGCTAGCTGTGAGTAAGCCAAGACTCTGAGACCCAGGCCTTCTACCTAGCTGTTATCTCTGTCTTAATGTCATCTTTTCTTGGTTTGGTGATTTGGGGGATGTATGTCAGACCCTTAGCAGAGTTGGCTGTAATTTGAAAGCCAAATATTTAGTTACTCTGACATTCTCTAGTACAGTTGAAATTTGAACAACGGTTTGAACTGCACCGGTCCACTTATATGCAGATTTTTTTTTCAGTAGTAAATAATAGAGAATCCATGGTTTTTTGAATCCTAGGATATGGAACCGTGGATGTGGAGGGTCGACTGAAGTTATGCTTGGATTTTCCATTAACTCTCGACACTCTTAACCCCCTCTTTGTTCATGGGTCAACTGTACTTTCATGACAGATGAGAATAGCTCATTTAAATCGTAAATGAAGCTGGAACTTAATTTAATTACTATCCTCATTTTTTAAGGAAGTGATCTAAATTCTTTTGAGTTCTAAATTATGATGAGCAATTTAGAGCACCATTGTGTAAGTATTCAGGATGGTGGAACTATATACCTAACAAATGTAATAAGAAGTGGAAACCTTTTGCCTTGGAAAAGTAAGTTTCTTTCTAAAATGTCATTAGTAGAAAAGACTATTATTTGGGATTTTTTAAGAGCTGTGGTTAGTAGATAACTAGTGAATTTTCATTATGATTGGCCATGCTCAAATTTTTCTTTTATTACTTTATTCAGGTTGAAATTGAGTTACTAATAATTGAAGAAACTCACACGTCATTTCCTATACTGTTCCCTAGTAATAGGAACAGTATATTTATAGGGGTGGGACATACACCACCCCCAGTTTCTATTTTAAGACTTGCCATCCTTAAGCCAAGGGCCTTTATTCTGCCTCTGGCTTTTCACAAAAACGGCTGCTGGGGCATATCAGTGTAGTCTGAATTTACCAGTAGAGAGGTGGGCAAGCAGCCCGCAAGATAAGAATGATTTTTTATGATGGCTTCACAGGCGAATTCTGTCAAGCATTTAGAGAAGAGCTAACACCTATCCTTCTCAAACTCTTCCAAAATATAGCAGAGGGAGGAACACTTCCAAACTCATTCCACGAGGCCACCATCACCTGATACCAAAACCAGACAGAGATGTCACAAAGAAGGAAAACTACAGGCCAATATCACTGATGAACATAGATGCAAAATCCTCAACAAAATACTAGCAAACAGAATCCAACAGCACATTAAAAGGATCATACACCATGATCAAATGGGGTTTATCCCAGAAATGCAAGGATTCTTCAGTATACGCAAATCAATCAGTGTGATACACCATTTTAACAAATTGAAGGAGAAAAACCATATGATCATCTCAATCGATGCAGAGAAAGCTTTCGACAAAATTCAACATCCATTTATGATAAAAACCCTCCAGAAAGTAGGCATAGAGGGAACTTTCCTCAACATAATAAAAGCCATATATGACAAACCCACAGCCAACATCGTCCTCAGTGGTGAAAAACTGAAACCATTTCCACTAAGATCAGGAACAAGACAAGGTTGCCCACTCTCACCACTGTTATTCAACATAGTTTTGGAAGTTTTAGCTGCAGCAATCAGAGAAGAAAAAGAAATAAAAGGAATCCAAATCGGGAAAGAAGAAGTAAAGCTGTCATGTTTGCAGATGACATGATACTATACATAGAGAATCCTAAAGATGCTACCAGAAAACTACTAGAGCTAATCAATGAATTTGGTAAAGTAGCAGGATACAAAATTAATGCACAGAAATCTCTGGCATTCCTATACACTAATGATGAAAAATCTGAAAGTGAAATTAAGAAAACACTCCCATTTACCATTGCAACAAAAAGAATAAAATATCTAGGAATAAACCTACCTAAGGAGACAAAAGACCTGTATGCAGAAAATTATAAGACACTGATGAAAGAAATTAAAGATGATACAAACAGATGGAGAGATATACCATGTTCTTGGATTGGAAGAATCAACATTGTGAAAATGACTCTACTACCCAAAGCAATCTATAGATTCAATGCAATCCCTATCAAACTACCACTGGCATTTTTCACAGAACTAGAACAAAAAATTTCACAATTTGTATGGAAACACAAAAGACCCCGAATAGCCAAAGCAATCTTGAGAACAAAAAATGGAGCTGGAGGAATCAGGCTGCCTGACTTCAGACTATACTACAAAGCTACAGTAATCAAGACAGTATGGTACTGGCACAAAAACAGAAAGATAGATCAATGGAATAGGATAGAAAGCCCAGAGATAAACCCATGCACATATGGTCACCTTATCTAGCTGGAGGAATCAGGCTCCCTGACTTCAGACTCTACTACCAAGTTACAGTAATCGACAGTATGGTACTGGCACAAAAACAGAAATATAGATCAATGGGACAGGATAGAAAGCCCAGAGTTAAACCCATGCACATATGGTCACCTTATCTTTGATAAAGGAGGCAAGAATATACAGTGGAGAAAAAGGACAGCCTCTTCAATAAGTGGTGCTGGGAAAATTGGACAGGTACATGTAAAAGTATGAGATTAGATCACTCCCTAACACCATACACAAAAATAAGCTCAAAATGGATTAAAGACCTAAATGTAAGGCCAGAAACTATCAAACTCTTAGAGGCACAAAAATAAACTCAGAATGGATTAAAGACCTAAATGTAAGTCCAGACACTATCAAACTCTTAGAGGAAAACATAGGCAGAACACTCTATGACATAAATCACAGCAAGATCCTTTTTGACCCACCTCCTAGAGAAATGGAAATAAAAATAAAAATAAACAAATGGGACCTAATGAAAATTAAAAGCTTTCGCATAGCAAAGGAAACACTAAACAAGACCAGAAGACAACCCTCAGAATGGGAGAAAATATTTGCAAATGAAGCAATTGACAAAGGATTTACAAGCAGCTCATGCAGCTCAATATCAAAACAACAACCCAATCCAAAAATGGACAGAAGACCTAAATAGACATTTCTCCAGAGAAGATATACAGATTGCCAACAAACACATGAAAGAATGCTCAACATCATTAATCATTAGATGAATGAAAATCAAAACTACAATGAGATATCATCTCACACCGGTCAGAATGGCCATCATCAAAAAATCTACAAACAGTAAATGCTGGAGAGGGTGTGGAGAAAAAGGAACGCTCTTGCACTGTTGTTGGGAATGTAAATTGATACAGCCAGTATGGAGAACAGTATGGAGGTTCCTTAAAAAACTTCAAATAGAAGTACCATATGACTCAGCAATCCCACTACTGGGCATATACCCTGAGAAAACCATAATTCGAAAAGAGTCATATACCAAAATGTTCATTGCAGCTCTGTTTACAATAGCCAGGACATGGAAGCAACCTAGGTGTCCATCAACAGATGAATGGATAAAGAAGATGTGGTACATATATACAATGGAATATTACTCAGCAATAAAAAGAATCGAAATTGAGTTATTTGTAGTGAGGTGGATGGACCTAGAGTCTGTCATACAGAGTGAAGTAAGTCAGAAAGAGAAAAACAAATACCATATGCTAACACATATATATGGAATCTAAGAAAGAAAAAAAAGGCTCATGAAGAACCTAGGGGCAAGACGGGAATAAAGACACAGACCTACTAGAGTATGGACTTGAGGATATGGGGAGAGGGAAGGGTAAGCTGTGACAAAGTGAGAGAGTGGCATGGACATATACACACTACCAAATGTAAAACAGATAGCTAGTGGGAAGCAGCCGCATAGCACAGGGAGATCAGCTCGGTGCTTTGTGACCACCAGAGGGGTGGGATAGGGAGGGTGGGAGCGAGGGAGACGCAAGAGGGAAGAGATATGGGAACATATGTATATGTATAACTGATTCACTTTGTTATAAAGCAGAAACTAACACACCATTGTAAAGCAGTTATACTCCAATACAGATGCGGAAGGAAGGGAGGGAGGGAGGAAAGAAAGAAAAGGAGATTATGGCAAAGAAATATGTGGCTCAAAAGCCTAAAATGTTTATTAAAAAAACTTATTAACCTTTACTCTTAAACATTCCCATTGCTTTCTTCCCTTTCAAACTTTCAGTGCTATTAGTCCTTCAATATACTGATAGATGATTCAGCAAGACCTGAAGAGTTAAGTCATGGTAGACTTAAATTGAGAAGAACAATGTAATCTCACTAGACCAGTACTTCTCAACCTTTTTTCAGCCTGAGCTTCTTTCAGTACTTTCTTACTCTACCACCTCTGTATCCCTACCAACCAAAAAGATTTTCTCTGCCTACCTTCTGTATTTTGTATTATGAAAACAATAGCTGTGTTGAATATGTTTTTTTAAAGTACATACTCCACCCAGAGCAGTTCTAATACTCTTCCCCCCATTACTATACCATATTATTAGATTACCTGAGAAAAGGGATCAAAGGATCATGACAGAGTATTCTTTGTTCCCCACTTTCCTCCTTTCCATGTCTTGCATGTAATAAACTCCTAACAAGTATTGATTGTAATGGTAATTTAAGAGAGCCTTCATTACCTTATCCCCAAAAGAGTGATTGCTGTTAGGAGTGTTAGCACTTTACAAGTTTATTAGACTTTTTTTATTAATTTTATGGAAAGTTGACCCTAATCTCTAGAAGTTAGACCTTTAATTGAGATTATAATAGAATTTTTTTCCATATTAGCAATACGTAGTGATGTCAGTAGTAATCAAGAAGTGACTTCTTACTTTCTTAGGAAAGTACGTTTTTCTCTCAAAATAAGATTGGAAGACATTAGTACTTCTCATATCTTGTGACAATATCTGTGACCTACATTTCATTAAAATCCACTGGTCTGTCTTGCACTTTGAATAGATCTTTTACCCATACATGCTTTTGTAACATCATGATTGGTTGTTTGGAAAGTGTTGTTTTACTGAATTATGCATTATCTCCCAAGTGTTAACACAACAACAATCACATTTACTAAGTATCACCACTGATCTCATCAGTAAAGTTTGTTAGGTATTGGGAAGGTTTCAAGCCAGTTCGGTTCAGTTCAATATAATTTCAAGCCAAATACAAATTTTCCAAAATTCTAATTTTCTCTTGGAAGCTTAAATTTTATTATTTGTAATAATGAATATTAATTGTTTTCCCTTGAAGTGACAGGCTCAGTTTGTTTATTTTTGAGAAAATGACTACCAGGTGTCCAAGCCTGAATAATCATAGATCATATCAGTCATTCTTTCAGGTAAAAGTGGTGTTCTGTGACAAAAAGCTGGTAGTTCACCTCACAATTCAAATAGTCACACAAGTGCTTTTCCTCGAGACATCCATCATGCTTCAGTTTACAGTAGGCGTGCTTTATGTATACTCCTTTCATTACACAGAATATTAAAAGACACGTACTCGAGTCAATATTTAATAAAATAAATGTTTGCTGTTTAGTCAACATTCTTAAGTGAAACTGACTATTTTTTCTTTTTTTGTTTTTAACTTTTACTGTAAATACATAACAGTAAAAAATACAATGACTACAAGTACAGTGGATGCTACTGCTGATACTGCTGCTTTTTGTGTTAAGATGCCAGCAGTCTTACCCAGTATTGCATGATCAGAGCAAATGTTAACACATCAAAAAAGGCAAATAACATCTTGGTATTGTTTTATATATATATTTTTTACCTTGTGGTCCTCCTGAAAGGCTCTTAGAGATCGCCAGGAGTCTGGGAACCGCCGTTTGAGAATTGCTTAGATGAATAGAAGACATCTGTGTTCAGATGAGTGACCTTATTTTGGCAGCTGTTGATGATCTGTGTTCTGTAACATGTCAGTTATTTCTCTAAGATTCCTTTAAAATAAGCACGTTGGGTGAATTCCTTTCTAATACTGTCTGTCAAAAAGCATGGTGTAGTAAAAAGTTGGGTAGTCTGATTAAGGAGAGGTGCATTCTCTATCAGCTGGGCACCAACAAGGCATTTAAGTACTTAGGCCCTGTGAGGCTCTGGTCCTTTATTCTAAAGTGATTGTGAGACTAGGTGATTTCTACCATAGCTTCTAATGCTCAAATTCCAAAATTCTATTCTAAAGTGATTATCTAGTAATATTCTTAAAATTCACAGCAATTTAATTAACTGCTTTCCTTTTTTCTTTTAACTTGAACCCTTTTAGCTAAAACCAGATCTCCTTTAGTAAATCATATTTTAAACATCTAATTAAGGCTATTAGGAAAGAGGCAAAGAAAAAAGTGAATTACTTCTCTTTAAAAGACCTGGAGTAAAATGAAAAAAAGAAATTAAGATTTGTTAAAGCTGGGTGATGGTTACAAAAAGGGTTCATTATATTGTTTTCTGTATTTCTCCTTGTTTGAAATACCACAGGATAAAAATTTTAAAAAGAACAAGAAATGAAAGACTTGGAATTGATGAAGATAGTGAACTTCTGAAGAGTTTATTTATAGTCAGTTGACACCACTGCGAACGTGAAAGACTAACAGCGTACTATTTTCTTGTGTCTGTCCCTTCTGGCTCCAATTTCTTTGTTTCTGACAGATTTTGCTAATATTGGATAGGATAAAAAACTTTAAAATGGAGGTTAAACTATTTCAGTTATAGTTTTAGCTATGCAACTAAATAGCTGTGTTATCCAGCTTTTCTGTTTCCTAATCTGTAACATGGAGGTAATAATTCCTGTGTTTGAAAGATCAAATGAGATAATGTATGAAAGTACCTCATAAACCCTCAAGTTCTGAATATACTGTGAGGTATTATTTTTTAAAGAGGAAAGAAAGTAATATATTTTTGTATGTGATTAAGTACAACCACATTCCCAACTATTGCAGGCCACTCGACCAGACATGATAAGGATCTTGTCAGCAGCCCTGCACGTAGTATTAAGGAGGGATATGTCCCTGAACCGAAGACTTTATGCCTGGCTTCTCGGTAAGTGTTTGATGTGTGTGGTCTTAGCTAGGAAGGGATGAAGGGAAATTTTCCATACATAAGTATTATCAAGTTTATATATGTCCTAAATTAAGAAACTAAAAGTTTACTTAAATAGACAATAAAAATAAAGACAGTATGAGTTGTGTATGGTATGAAGAAATCTCAAAAGCTTCTTAGTTGAAGAAGCTGTTTTAATCTATAGGTCATGTTCCCTTTGACAAGATTTTTTTCCCCTTATACATTGAGGCTATTATACTCTAAGTATGTAGACAAAGAAGGATAAATTCATAATCAAAATAATGGTGTAATATCCAAAACTTGAAAGGAATCAGGACTAGTACTCCTGTCCCACACATGGTACCTGTCTCCCACTCAGGCAGTAAAATATTGTGTACACTTTGTTCTTCCATACTTTTTGTGAGTGTTTGGCCTGTCTTCACAACTCTTTACTGCCTAGAGTGAGAAGACACAATATAACTTACTTTGGATTTTCTGAATCTTCAGTTCTTTCACTGTTTGAAAAAAACCAAGATAATTCTGGAAGTTTACTATGATACTCACTTATGTATTGAATTGGTTTCCCTTTATTAAACTATCTAAAATGATCTCTCTTGCTGACATTGATTGGGCTACTAATTGGTAAGTGTTTAGTGCTGTTTTTGAGATATTTGCTGTTTTGGTATTTAGTGAACAACAGTTTTAAGAATTCCATTTAATTTATTTTACAATTTGTTTCCATGGAGGTTTTGATAACAACGGTGCTATCATAGGACCCAGAAGCACAAGACACAGCAATCCTGAAGAACACGCTACTTACTATTTCACTACCTTTTCAAAAGAATTGTTGGTGCAGGTAATGGATGCTTTCATTTTATTTTTTGGTTACTCCGTGACCACTGTAGTTACTCAACAAATAACAAATAAGACAAAGTCCTGCCTTGAATTAATTTACAGTTGAAGGGGTGGAGACAAGACTCACAAACTTCCTAAGAATGACTGTAACAAGCAAATGGCTGCAATGAAATAAGTGTGTAATGGTAAGCTAGACTCACTTCTGTGTAAGTCCTGAGATCCTTTTCTTCATTTACTTTGTTTTCATGAGTTCATCACAGCGTAGTTGCAGCTTCTCACCTGTCTGCCCTGTGGAAGTTGGAGCTCTTCCAAAAATGAGCCAGGACCTGTGTTATTTACTCTGAAATTCCAGGGAAATTTGGGTTGCAACAAGAATTTAAATGTTAAAACTACTTTTGTAATGGAAATATTAAAATGATCTATAGGCTTATTTCATATTATTTTTACTTCAATTAAATTTATTCAAGATATCTTAAACTGAGAGAGTACATGGTATCTGAAACAATTTGAAATAAGTGAGGTTATAAGAATACAGTTTTGAGTTACTAATGAGAAAATAATTGCATAATAGTAGATACTGCCATGATAACGAGTGATAGTTTGGGGCATGTTGACAGTCAAGAGGAACATTTTTATCTTTTAGGAAATCAAATAACTCATGAATTAATTTTTCTAGATTTTCTTTACATTTTCTCTAGAAAAAACAGTGGAAAAGTTAAGCCCTTTCTTCTTCTGTCAAGAGAAATGAATATAACTTTTCTTTTCCCCCAGCAGAGGAAAAAAGCCAACTTAAGCAAAAGAACTTCAGAAAATCAATAGGAGATGTAAATCTCTGTTTACATATGGTTGTATATAAAAATATTTTTCTTAAGAAAAAATCTTTGAATTTGTTTGCTTAAATGACTAATGTACTTTTTCTTCTTTGAAGGCAATGGTGGGGATCTTACAAGTGAATGGATTTGGAGAAGAGAGCACTTTAATGCAGGATCTAAAACCTTTTCGTATTTTAATCAGTTTACTGGACAAACCTGAGCTAGGTAATATATACTCTCCTAACTATCCTAGGGCATAAGATCATACGTGGTTGTTTTGTATTGCTTCATGAGAAAAATAAGACAAAGTCATTACTTAGAAAAATTTCTGTATTTTGAGGTGTTCTCAACACCTCAAATACAGGTTCTCAACAATTCGTTACCTAAAATTCACTCTAGAACATTAAGAAGATACAGATGTACATTCAGCTGGTATGTTATCATATGTGTACCCTGTACTATGTACGTAGCAGAGGAGTCACCTTAAAGGTGCTATCTAAGCCCCTCTTAATCCTGATTAAGGTACTGAAATCGAAACACTGATGATCTGTCATGACTATCTTTTAGTTCACAGAATTCAAGGATTTGAGCAAAAGTATTTTAGTCATACCCCTCAACCTTCTTCCCCACATCCCCTTTGTTTTATGTGTTTTCCCTTTCTTCACTGTGTACTTCTTATATACTAGACCTCTTGGGAAGATAGTTACGGCACCTGGGACAGAAATTAAGAAAAACTGAAAATATTAGCAACAATAAAGTGAAATAATAAAGTATTTAGTTTTATTAAATTATGTGCAGAAGTTTTAGCAAATATGCATAAGTTCTCTCACCAACTCTTAAAAGAAAAATGAAAAAATTTAAATATAAAAATAACTTGAGTTGTACCAGTGGCTCTATTACGTGGTAATAGATGGAAGTTCAGGAAGTTTTCTGAGGCGATTGGCGTCTCTTATAGCAGTAAAGTTTAGCCTTGTGCACTTTTGTATTATTTTAATTAATAATAGTAATATAAGTTACATTCATTGAGTACTCATTATATTCTGGGAACCATGCTACCCATCTTACAGAACTTTTCCTGACCCTTACACTGATAGTCCCATAAGTTTGCTCTTTTCCTCATTCTGCATGAAGAAACCAAAACTCAAAGAAGTTAAATAACTTGTCCAAGCTAATAGAGCTATTAACTGGCAAAACCAGTTTCCCTGATTTTGTAATTTCTATTACGTCAACCTATATAGTTAAATAAACATTTGTTCAGTTCTTTACTATTTTACTGTTAGCCTCTCAGGATGTGAAGTTTAGTTTCACTTCTGGAAAAAACATTATTTTTTCAAAATACCTGTTTTAAATCATACTTTAATTGTACCAATTTGTAGATAATCATGATTTGTAATATTAATTATTGTCTTTAATATGTATATTTTAGGACCTGTAATTCTAGAAGACGTCCTCATTGAAGTGTTTAGAACATTGTATTCTCAGTGTAAAGCAGAATTGGATCTTCAGATGGAACCACCCTTCAGCAAGGATCACGCTCAGTTAAGCAGGTGGATTACCAAAAAATTAAGCATGACACAAAGGTCCTCCTTTATTAATATTTGTAAAGTAGACATTGCTATATGAAATTTGTGTTATGAATGAGTTCGATTTAAAGTATCGCTATATTTTAGTAATATGAACTCTCATAATTAACTGCACTGACCTTTCAAACAGGCATGTGTAGCATGAGTGCTGTGTACAATGCCACCACCTTCCAGGGTTGGTTCTCAACCTCACCAGTTTAGAAAACTAAATTTTAGCAGTTAATGTGAAGATATAGATTCCAGGGAATTCATTCACACTTACCAAACTCACAAGAGATTAGCTTTCACATGTCAGTTAATAATGAAAGCTGTACCTTGCTTGGTAACCAGGCCTGGTAGTTTGCACGGGGTAGTGCCCTCTTGGTGCCTTGACACACTCAGGAGACCAAAGCATAGATCAGAAGAAGACTTGAACACAGAATTAAATGAATCAGGGCACTAGGCGTTCTTTAAAGACTTTTTTTCAAGTGATGGTTCTTTCTTCTTTCAAATTATTTCTCTCTATATATGTGTGTGTGTATATATATACACATTTTTTTTTTAATCCCTGGGAGAAGTCATATAACATTAATGTATCCTCTTCTCTAAGTCAGTGGTAGATACATGCTGACAAAGTCTTACTTTTTCATTTCTTCTCTGCTTTAAGGAGCCTACCTGCTTTCGGGTCTCACCTATCATTATGACAAAGGATCCAAGACAACAATTTCGTTTGCGTACTTTGCATTTTATTTAATTAATTAATTAATTAATTTTTTTTGGCTGCACTGCGTAGCTTGTGGCATCTTAGTTCCCTGACCAGGGATTGAACCTGGGCCCTCAGCAGTGAAAGTGCAGAGTCCTAATTACTGGACCGCCAGGGAATTCTCACTTTGCATCTTATTAGTGTCACCTTGGTGACACTTTGGAGATAACCTGGGCTTTCCTAAAGCATACTTTTATATATTAAAACTTCTTAAGACAGTTTTTGATTTCTGATAAATATTATAATCCCCTCTGATTTTTGTTTGAGCCGTTAATATTGACTAACCTTGTACTCTGTTTCATTCTGTACACTGCCTGATAATTTATTTTTTTCCCATAGAGTATTTAATTAGCCTTTCGTGCTATAACATGCTAGTTGTATTGACAGTACATCACTATATAGAAAAATAATTGTTTTAATTGTTAGGAAGGGTGACAGGAGATGGTAGTTAGGTGGGTATTTAATAGGCTAGAGGGCTCCCACTTGAAATAACGAAGTTATTTTTCCCTGATGGAATTACAGTAAGAGTGGCTATTGACAGGATTACTTCTTTTTGTTGTTATTGTTTTTCAAGCTAAAAATAATAATTTGATTGAAGCTCACCAAGATAAACTTAACCTTTCTCAAACAAATCCTGAATAGTACAGGAAAGCAGACAAAATTCTTTCAGAATCGAGGCTGTCAAAATCAAATCACCGGGCCTTCCCTGGTGGCGCAGTGGTTAAGAATCCGCCTGCCAGTCCAGGGGACACGGGTTCGAGCCCTGGTCCAGGAAGATCCCACATGCCGCGGAGCAACTAAGCCCATGTGCTACAACTGCTGAGCCTGCACTCTAGAGCCCGCAAGCCACAACTACTGAACCCGCGTGCCACAACTACTGAAGCCCGTGCACCTAGAGCTCGTGCTCCACAACAAGAGAAGCCACTGCAATGAGAAGCCTGTGCACCACAACGAAGAGTAGCCCCTGCTTGCCACAACTAGAGAAAGCCCGCACGCAGCATCGAAGACCCAACATAACCAAAGATTAATTAATTAATTAATTAATTAAAAAAAATCACCACTCAGTTTATATGTGTCAAGGGAAACAAAGGAATTTAATGCCAAATTCACCATCAGGCTCTCAAAATAGTTCAAAAAGAACTTCTTGTTCTTCTGCTGGAAGCACAGCTATTTTTCTTATGCAAGGTTAATTTCTGATCTTGATCATACATTTGAGTTATGAAAACTCAAGTTTGGAAAAATAACTACACATAAAGTGATAAAGTGACAGTAGATAAAAATTATTTGTTGCAATATTCTCACTAGCAAGTTTTCTAGCAAATACTTGGGAATATGTACCCCGCTAACAACATTCCACTCACATTTAAATTTGAAAAAGTAGATGTTATATTTATCAGTTTTTGTTTTTTTCTTTTTTTTTTTTAGTAAATTAAGGGAAAATAAGAAAACAGCAGAACTGATTAAAACTGCCAACCTTCTCTTTAATTCCTTTGAGCCTTATTATATGTGGGATTATGTTGCACGTTGGTTTGAAGAATGTTGTAGGTACGTTAAACTATTTTATTCATTTTCATTTAATAGCATTCAAAGCCAGTCTTTGTTATTTTTTTTAAGTTCTTGAGTTTAATGAAAAGAATGTTCTTTTATACATTTTACTACTAACAACTATCATTTAATGGCCATAATCTGTCTCTACCATGTCACTCTAGAATACGGAATCATTGATCGTGTAATCTTAGATTTGAAAAGGAGTTTAGAGATGAGTTATTCAGTCACCAGCATTGATGAAACATTTTCCCTCTCCAATCTATAGTAATCCAGTTTTTCTTTGTTGCAGAGAAAATAGCAAATTTGTGGCTGGTGCCTCAGCACACTTTCCCAAAATGCTTCTCACTTTGAATAACAAAAAAGTCCTCGGTCACTTTTATGTTTTTAAAAACATAGAACCAGCCCATGTTATCATCCACTCCTTAGGTCGTAAAGCTTAAAAAATGCTCAGAAAACCTAGTAATACTAGTGAACCTGGGTAGAATTTCTGTCTGGATTCTAGACCAAATTCTCTCAGCAGCAGATTAACCTCTCAAGCCTTGGGAGCATAGAGTCAACAAGTAAGCATTTATGATCTCGGGATTAGAAGTCTTTTAAAAATATAAAATTAATCCCTTTAATGGTTTAGAAAGTTGCCTGCTTACTCATTGAACAGCTACTGTGCACCCAGTGGAAAGGCACTATGCTAGACATATAGACAGTGCCTGTCTTCAAAGAGCTCACAGCAGGAACAAGTAAGACATACTCATGCATATTCCTAGTACTGTATTTAGTTAAAGGTTACGGGTGCCTTAATAGAGAGATTAAGATGTGGTAGGAATGTAGAGGAATTGTGGGTGTCTTTTTACCACCTGGCCCTGGCCCAGGTTTCTACTTTGTTTTCACATTCACAAACATACACATATACCCTTCTTCAGCTAACCTGGACTGTTCCTTGAACAACATTAACTGAGCCTTCAGTGATGCTGCTGAGCTTTCACTCATGTTATTTTTTCGAAAATATTCTTCTCCCTAGCCCATCTGGTAAGGTCCTATAAAGAGGTCACCCCCTTTCAGAAGCCTTCTATGACTCCCTCAAATCTCCCATCAGAATCAACTTCTCCTACCCTATCACATTGTTACGTTATTTGTCTATAGGAAATGTACTTTCGTACATTTGTCTATAGGCTTATGTTTCTTGCTGGCTAGGGACTGTAGCATATTCTTACTTCGTGTCTTCAGAGTGTAGGGCAGTGTATGGGCAGATAGGATTAATGTGATTTAATGTGCATATTTGTTGGAGGAATAATCTCTACTATTTGTATCAGAAGCGGCTTCTTAGAGGAGGTACCGTTTGAAGGATGGCTGCATTCTGGATGTGAGAGAATGAGGCTGGGAGAGGGTGCCTATCCAGGGGGACAGGTTGGTATGAACAAAGGCCCTGAGGTTAGCAATCAAGCAGCAAATAGTGCATTTTAGCTAGGAGATGAGATCTGTAGTGGGAGAAATAGGAAATAAATCCCAAATAGAATCATCCAGAACACTTGGAAGTTCAGGATGGGTGTCATAGGGAGAGGTTCAGCCTAGGAATCTTGCTTTGAGAATTTTCCATGGAGAGATACAGTAGTGTCCTAGGGGAAAGGGAACATACTTCATCACAAGAAGTTAACCATGTGCATCCCAATGTTGACATGACTCATTTAAAGAACAATGATATCATCACGTGTATTCACATCACTTGATAGGATACTTGATAAAGTGAATTTTGTCCTTTTAGGAGGACACTGCATGCCAGACTTCAGATTGGGCCTGGAGATGTTAACGACTCATCTGAGTTACAGCTGACCAATTTCTGCTTACTGGTGGATTTTTTGTTGGATATAGTTTCTTTGGTAAGATCACGCTGGTGAAAAAATATTGAGGAAATGTAATAAAATAGTTGAAATATTTCATTTTGGAAATAGACCTCATCTTCAAATAAATATCGTTTTTTAAATTAAATTGATTTTTCCCCCTTTTGGTGTAGCATTTTAAATAAAATTTTTGAAGTGTTTTGTCCTCTGACATACATTATATGTAATACATATATAATTCTTACATAATACATGGAATATATTTCCTAATTGCATGTTATTGAAGTCTTACATGTTTAGTATATAATAGTCTAATGCTGCATTTGTATTCATTAATGATTCTATTAAATGAAGACTGTTGGAAATCTTTTCCCCTTTTCTCTCCTCAATTCTTTGCTTTCTCATTTTGAAGCCTACTAGAAGTATGAGGGTGCTGTGTCAGGTATGACATTCAGCCTGTTTTGTTTTTAACTGATTGTATTCACTTTTGTTATGTTATAATTTCAGTAATGTAACAGATAAAACTGGGGTTCTTTTATAGTACATGCTTCGAAGTACTTAAATTGAGATTTTGGGAATAGAAATTTTACGTCATTAATAATAAATGACCATACAATGTTAATTAAGAGCATGGTACATATAAAATGAGTAAAATTATTTCTTTTTCTTATATATTAATAAATTTAAAAATAACATAACTTTGGAGTTATACACTGTATAAACTTTTGTCACTTCGCTTTTATTTTCAGGAGACTTATATTGAAATCCAGACAGAACACTTGCCCCAGTTGCTGCTCAGGATGGTATCTGCCCTGACAAGCCACCTCCAGACATTGCACTTGACTGAACTCACGGATTCTCTCAGGCTCTGCTCAAAGATCCTTAGCAAGGTTCAACCTCCTTTGTTATCTGCCAGCACTGGAGGTGTGTTGCAGTTTCCAAGTGGGCAGAACAACTCAGTCAAGGAGTGGGAAGACAAAAAGGTAACGTTTTGCTGTTATTTTTGGTACTAGACCAATTATATTTCTTCAAGGCAGAACAGTTTCTAACTAAAATCACTTAACACATATTAATTTAAATATTCGTCAGTCTTTCCTAATTCCCAGTGTTGTGGCAGTAGACTGTCTTGTAGGCTTTTTTTTGGCTCTAGTGCAATTTAACTGTCTATATCCACACTTTCCAAAAGAAATATAACACAAGCAACATATATAATTTAAAATTTTCTGGTAGCCACAGTAAAAAAAAAAAAAAAAAAAAAAAAAAAAGGGGAAAAAAAATTTA